CAATTGTTGCTAACACCACAATGTTCTTAAAGCATTTCTGAGATTCCCTGGTGGTTTAGTTCAATGCTTAAAAAACACAAAACAGCAAACAGCTTGCTGAATGAAAGGCTAGAATGTGCAGTTAGAATTGAGGGCTGATATGGAAAGAAAGGACCTTTGTTAAGATTTCTTTTTAAGTCTTGCTTTACTCTTGCATGCTGTGGTTTGTTGATTTTTCCTGTACCCACCCAGAATTTCAGTAATTGAGCTTTTACACTGATAAGATTGGCTTAGACTGAGTTTTCCTTTTGCCTGGATACGTAAGGAGTTAGGACTTCTCAACTATGTGTCCATAAAAACCTTGGTTGGTCTGCGGCAAAGGTGGTTGCCATCCCACCTGCCCCGAGTATTCTAGACTGTCTGGGTTAATGGGTGCTGGCGGCCGCAGCTGGTAAAGTGATTGCTCAGTGGCCTCCTCCCCCCCACTGGTACGGACAGCCGTCTGTGGTCCTTTTGCTGGAGACAGAGCCAGCGGGCAGTAGCAGCTCTTCCTGAAGGCACGGGAGGCAGGGAGGATTTGGGGACTGTCCCTCCTCTGTGTTGGTTTCACTTGTTGGGGAGAAGGTGCCAGAGTTTGTCATGAAGCCACAAGACTGGCTGGTCCAGGAAGCTCTGCTATTTGGGAGGAAAGAGCAGTGAGGGTCAGAATGTACTCCCCAATCCTTAGTCCTCCAGAAACCACACAGACATACCTTTCTGCTCTCTAAGATTATTCCCTCTTCAGTTGCCTTGTGTTTTCCTCTGTTTGTGTGTGACTTTAGGCGCCTGCTGATGCAAACAGTCATTCTAGAGAAGATCAGAGGTAGTCCAGAGGCCTGAGCCTGCTTTCAGAGAGTTGCCCCCAAAACACAGAGTAAAGCGCTAGCCCTGTGAACTCTGAGTTTGCGTTAGGTAGAATTACTGGGTATTATCTGCCCTATTCCAACCCAAACTGAAGTCTGTAAGATGCATTTACTAAATGTCCTCTAGCAGAGTTTTACAAGTCTTTAAAAGAATCTTCATTAAAACCAAGAATCAGGACATCTAATAAGGGTGCTCTGGAATCCTGGTGTGGTGCTGTAGGATAAGCACTGGGCCGAAAAGTCAGTTTGAAAGGTTCAAACACACCAGCCAGTCCTCAAAAACCCTATACAGGGTCTCTATGAGTCAGAACCAACTCAAACAGCACTTAACAACAATGATAAGGGTGTGTAGGGTAAATACTGCACTCCTGTCCACAAGGCTGGCAGTTCAAACCCACCAGCAGGTCCTTGGATACACTACACAGGGTCACTGTGAATTGGAACCAACTTGACAGCACTTAACAACTTTTGTGGTGGCACAAAAGTTTAGTGCTTGGCTGCTAAGGTTGGTGGTTCAAACCCACCAGCCTCTCCCTGTGGCAGTCTTTATTCATAAAATAAATTGGGCGGGAGTTGTTGTTGAGTTGATTCCAACTCATCAACTGCCCCACAGTCGTTAAGGAAGCAGACTGCCTCATCTATCTCCCTCAGAATGGTTGATGGAGTTTGAAGCACTGACCTTTTTGTAAGCAGATCAACAGTTTATGTTTCCCCATAAAGATTGTTGTTGTTAAGTGCCATAGAGTCGGTTCTGATCCATGTATAGGGTTTCCAAGCAGCGGCTGGTAAGATTGAACCACTGACCTTGCAGCTCACACTGACTTTGCAGTCCAGCGCATTAGCCCACAGCACCACAGAGAACTCCCACATAAAGATTGTTGTTAAGTACCGTGGAGTCTATTCCGACTTATAGTGACCCTGCACAGGGTTTCTGAGGCTATAAATTTTTACGGGAGCACAACGCCTCCTCTTTCTCCTGCGGAACCACTGGTAGTTTCGAACTGCTGACCCTGAGGTTAGCAGCCATACTCATAACTACTACACTACATTTGTTGTTGTTGTTATATGCCGTGGAGTCGGTTCCGACTCATAGCGACCCTGTACAGGGTTTCCGAGGCTGTAAATCTTTACAGGAGCAGAACACCTCATCTTTCTCCCACGAAACAGCTGGTAGTTTCGAACTGCTGACCTTGCGGTTTGCAGCCCGATTCGTAACCACTACGCTACCAGAGCTCCTTACTCAAAAATCCTCCGGGCAGTTCTGCCCTGTCCTTATGGCCATGATAAATTGGAACTGACTCTAACAATGGGATTTGGGTGGTTTGTTTTGCTTAATAAGGGCCATATGAGTGTTGTTGTTGTTGTTGTTGTTTTGAGTTAAATTATTTTTTAAGGTGATGCTTCTTATAGAAAACAATGTTCACCTCTGAGAGGTGAGTGAAGGTGTGGTTGGCCCATCCTCCCACATCATCCTGTGTCCAAGGGTATGAAGACTGCTGCTGCCTCCCAGTAATATGGGTAGAGAAGGACTGAACATCATACTCACGGACTCCTTGCTGTAAGGAGTCCACCACATCCTCTCCTCCCTTTCCGAGCCTCATCCTTGCTGTCAGCCCAGCCCTTCTGCCCCCGCTTTCTCAGCCCCCTGAGCCAACAAATTGGCTTGGGAACCCTACTCTTACCTGCTGGGTGCTATCAGAACCTTCCCATTCTGCTGTCAGAAGTCTTGGGTGCCTTGGGCAGTAGGGCCAGGAGGAGGAAAGAGAAGCTTATTCAAGTTTAAGGGCCCCAGGGAGCAGCCAGAAGAGCGGGAGTTGAGAGAGGGTGGGTGGGATGGGGAGGCTGCCTCCGTTCAGGGCAGAACTGAGCAGGTCCCAGGCACCCAAAACAGAGATGGGCGTGGGTTAGGAGAGCCCATTACTTGCTAGTGCTATGGCCTAAAGGAAGTCAATCTCTCTGAGCCCAATTTCCTCAACTGTGTACAATAGGGATAATAATGTTTACCCCACAGGTTTCTTGTAAGGGTTAAATAAGACAGCACAGATAAAATGTCTGGTGCACTGAGCACACATTTTTTCCCTCCTTCCCATGAATACCACTTAGAAAACTAAGTGGTATTATTGTCTCGTTGCTATTTGTAAGCAGTGTTCATGGTTAGCACCCCTCCCTTTTGGTCTGTCCATAAGAGGAACTGTCAGGGACTAGGCTAAGATGTTCCTGAGGAAAAGTGCAATTTTCTCCTTTCACATGGTGATATGATATTTGCAGTGACCACTGTGCAGAGTTCTGTGCTTACGCTGCCCTGAAAGGAAGACAAGACCGTAACATGGAAACAGAAAGAGCTCAATGAGAAGCACAGCCCTTGTGCTTTCGCCCAGTGTGAAACCCTGAGTGGTTTTGCAGTCATACTTAGCAGTAGTGAGGTGTCCTGTATACAGTAGGCCTGAATCTCCTCAGAAGTGCCTGGAAACTGGTAACTTTTCATAGATACCTCAGAAAAATTGGAAAAATCCTGTTCCAAGATCCCAGAGAGGACTTGAGTTTGAGGAGTTCTAGGCTTCACTTTGGGTAACTCATACTGTGAAGGTCAGGTCTCGCCTTGTGGGACTGCAGGCCTAGGGTCACTGTCCTGTTCCTGAGGAAAGTCATCTGCACCCTCCCCTGGGCCTGCCTCAGAAAGCTCCAGGAATCTTGACCTCTTTGTGATTTATAAAGTTCACAAATAACAGCACCACTGGACTGGGGCTGGGGGATGTCACAGCCTGAACCCACTCCCTGAGATGAATCCTCGCGAGCAAGTACAGATGGGAATTTCTGTGCTTGCTCCCAGATGTGCCCCCACACCCCCACTACCCCTGTGCTTCCTTGTTGAGCCATGCTGTTTGGTGCTCATTTAGCTGAAGCCTCTAAGTTCGAAACTGGCCCTGGATGCTCAGGTTTAGCTTGGGTGATATCCTAAGCCCAAACCTCAGTGTCAACTTTGCAGTGCCAGTGACTCGCTTTCTGAAGCATCACGTCATGGGTACCCATGATGAAGAGCAAGTGCCAGCTCTGGGGCCTATGGTTGTTGTTGTTAGTGCTGTTGAGTCAGTTCCGACCCATAGCAACCCTGTATAAGGTTTCCGAGGAGTGACTGGTGAGCTTGAACCACTGACCTTGTAGTTCAAACGGCTTTGCAGTCAGTCTGGCGCATTAACCCACAGTGCCATACCAAGACTACTCCTATGGTTAGAAAGATTCAATTTTAAAATTTAAGTAGCAAAAACCCAAGCTAGAAAAGGCACAGTTTACAGCTCCTTGTTGCAAGAAAAGACCAAACTTCAACTCTTGATTTAGGGTATTTTGCTTTTAAAAAAAAAATTAGTTTTGTAGCTTAGCATTTCCCAGGCAACTTTGAAAATAATGTACACAAATAAGATTTCTTATTTGTGGTCTGGTGTCTCAGTGCTGTGGTGCAAGGATATATATACTCCAGGGGCAGAGCTGGGGGAGGGGGGGGCGACAAAAAAAAAAAAAAAAAAGAATATTTTGGATCTAAGCCATTTATTTCAACAAATATTTATTTTCAATTTCTCTTTGAAACGAGCAGCTAGTCAGGTCTCTGATTCTCGTTCCCATTAAAACTGTGACTCCACAGACCGAGGCAGCTGTCCAGGTAATTCAGGCCAAAACCCTGCTACTACTGAAGAAAAATGATTCCAGGTTGTTTTTAAACTGAATTTTCCAGTGTGTTTTTATTCTCCCTAAATCCTTTACATTTACAGTTTTCAGTTCTACTTGCCTTTGTTGATCCAGGATGGGTCTTTTTAAAGTGACAATAAAGAACACCATATTTAGAATCTGTGTAGGTTATGTTTTTGTAACTGGGGACAATAGTTTTCATGAGCTGACTTTTTGAGACCCATATAAAATATCTCAGTATTACCAGGGAAGTTGTCTGTCTTTGAGCTTTATTCAGGTCTCCTTGCGTCCCACCGTTTTTGTCTTATTTTTCCTGCTGATTCCTGCCTTCCTTGGAATGACTCAAACCATTTGTCTGGTCTTTCCTTCCTGTCTTTGTGTAGAGATGTCTCAGCTGTCCAACACTGACTATGTTTTTTTAACGACTCTATTTTTCAGATGCCGAACGCTCTCAGGTTCGCCCAGACCAAAGAACTTTAAGAAGATTCATTTTATCAAGAACATGAGGCAACATGATACCAGGAATGGCAGGTACTACACAAACAAAAGGGGCTCTCACAGCTTTTCTGCTGGGGTGGGCAGGAGGGTGGGGGTACCCATTATAATTGCCAGACCTCAGCAAACTTAAATGCACACTTTTTTTTTGAAAATATGCACAATAAAACAGGCACCAATCCAATGATTCTAACATGTATAATTCAGGAACATTATCTTCTAAAAGCTATGTAATCATTCTCACCCTCCCTTTCCAAATTATTCCTCCACCTTTAACATCAACTCACAACTCTCTCTAAGCTTCTTATTTTTTTGAACAAGCATTTTAATTTGTTTAAGCCAAGATTTCCCAACATTATTAAACCACGAAGTCCGTCTTCTCCCCAAAGAATGCTTCCTAATATCTTACTTTAAATACTTAATAGAATTTTTTGGAAAACTCGGATATAGGTTAACCAGGGCTTATCTAATGGATGGGCTACCCAGGCAGCCTCATGCCAATCCCGACTGGTGTTAGGTATTGTCAAGTCCATTTTTGACTCATAACAACCCCATGTGACTGATGAGAACTGCCCCGTGGAAAACCCACACCTTTAATACATCCAGGAGCTCCTGTAGCTTTCCCAAGCAAAATATTTCCTCCCACCCCCACCAAATTGCCAAAAAGAGTCCATATAAAATAATGCTCCCCAATGAGCTCTGGTAGCACAGTGGTTACGAATCGAACTGCAAACCGCAAGGTCAGTAGTTCGAAACTACCAGCTGTTCCACAGGAGAAAGGTGAGGCTTTCTGCTCCCATAAAGATTTACAGCCTCGAAAACCCTGTACAGGGTTGCTATGGGTCGGACTCGACTCGACAGCACTTAACAACAACAACAATAGCACCTCAGGACTCAGTGAGACTATTAGATCCACAACAAACTGAATTTTCAGTAGTACTATGAAAATACATTTTCATAGAAAACTTTGACCAGGAAATATATGTTCCCCTATTTTTTGCTCTGTTACGTTTTGTTTTATTTTTTACTAATGCTGTGTGCTCAGGAACCCTGGTTAAATTTTTTGGCAGTTAACTGAAATGTCAGTGGTTCAAACCCACCAGTCACTCCACAGGAGACTGTGGCGATCTGCTTCCATAAAGATTTCCTATTAGCAGTCACTCTAAGTCAAAATCAACTCAGCAGCAATGGTCTGGTTGTTGTTGTTGTTGTTAAGTGCTGTCGAGTCTGTTCCAACTCATGGAACATCCAGCCTTTTTGGTGTGGCCCTGCTAAGGCAGCTGCAGTTCCCGCCATCAACATTGGTGATGGTATTGTGTGCCGACTTGGTTCCAACACATAGAGACCATGATTCGGGGTGAGTTAATTAAATGTTTGACCAAATATAGCAGGCTAGCTTTTAAATTGATAATCTTGAATGGCCCACGAATGATGTTACACATTTTGGCAGAAAAATGGTTCCCTGCTCCAGCTACATAGGGTTTCCAAAGAGCAGCTGGTGAGTTTGAACTACCAACCTTTTGGTTCAAATCTACCTTGTGGTCCAGTGCTTAATCCTACAGCATCACACCAGTACTCCAGTGGCTTGGTTGTTGTTAAGTGCCATTTAGTCGTTTCCAACTTATAGCGACCCTGTATAGGGTTTCCAAGGAGCAGCTGATGTGCTTGAACCGCCGACCTTGCAGTTTAAGCCAACTTTGCAGTCCGGTGCATTAATCTGCAGTTATCTCACCAGACCTGTGCCTGGACTTGGTTTTGGTCCTAGCTCTGATGACTGTAGAAGAATCACAGCTCTGCCACCTCATTCTTCCTCTGCACAAATTCCAATCCTGGGCCTGCTGACATCCGGCCAATATACTTCTCTAACGCTTTCTTTAGTCCTCTTGGGGAGTACTCTTAAATGAAAATTATTGGGAGCACAGGGCTGTATAAGATAAGCGCTGGACTGCTAACTGCAAGGTTGTCAGTTTTAGGTCTCTGCTCCGTGGGAGAAAGATGAGACTTTCTGCTCCCGCAAAGCTTTCCGGCCTCAGAAACCACATTCAGGGTCGCTGTGTGTCAGAATCGACTCAGTGGCACTTAACAATGACAACAACAACTCTCCTGATAAGTAGATGGTAATCATTGTTGTTCACATGCTTAGAATGGTTGTCAGAGTCTCTTCATCAGGATAGCGCCCCAGGAACTCTGGGCCCCCTAATGCTCCCCAAATCTGCAGCTCTGTGACCATCTCAAACAGCCCCTTTGCACTAGCCTGTGATCTGGGTTGTGGTTTCTCTTGAACCTGTGAGTCAGAGATGCCGCCTCAGAGAAGATGGCTGCTACAAAGACCGTTTCGTTTGATCTCCTACTTTACAGAAGGCCATCTGGTCCCTGCTAATACTCTCTAATCCATGTAAAATGGAAATGAGTAAGTCTTTTAGGTAGACTCATGGAATGATTAAGGCCCAGGTATCTAACTGCAGTGTGATGGTGCAAATGCATTCTGCCACCTGTGTAATATTTAACAATTGCAGTTTTTAAAAGCTTGTTTTCTTGACGTTTATATTGTTGTTATTGTTTTTTTTAAAAAAAAAAAAACCTGCCAGGGCAGGGAATCTAATTTTATAGCTAATGCAGTGGTTCCAAGGTAGCAAAACTGAGCTGTCATCAAAATAATTACTATATTTTAGTCTGTATGCTCATATTTTAAATGAGATCAGTTAGTTAAAATTTATATAACATTTATCTGCTACATAGAGTATTCTGAATTTCTCGTTTTCACCTTTAATCTGTCTGTCACTTAGAATAACCATTTCTTATTCATTTTGAAGCTCACTAAATTCAACCGTACATAAGCCATTTTTAGTGTGTGTGTCAGAACTTAACAACAGCAATTCGTCATTTATTTACATTTTTTCCTGTAATCTCTTTAACCATAAAATAAACATAGAAAGCCTTTAATTCCTAAATAAAATCAAGAACAAAGCCAAAGGAAGGGGCCAGATTGCTGGTATTCCACTTCCCCATCCCCCAGGTGCTATCCAGGATACAAAGTCAGATTATTTCTTGGCATGGTTGGATAGTGAGAGGATGTAGTTATAGGATTTGGATTAATGGGATTATCCAAATACATTGCAAAGCTACCTTTCCAGGCACACCCTGGACCCAGGAGCAATGTAAACAGTCAGAAAAGCATGCAGTTGCCTGCCGTTTTGCTGGGGAGTTCTCAGAGGGAGCCAGAAGGGATGGTTAGCTTATCAACAGATCTGAGAACTGGGATTTGGGGCAGGAAGGAGATCTGAGAGTTGTGTGGGAACTACAGGCCCCCGCAGGTCTGAGGGGTGGCCAGCTGTCTCTGCCCCCAGTGAAAGCTGGTTTTCCTGTGCCAAAGGAAGATGAAAGCTGAAGAGGCTCCCCTTCCTCGCTTGGATGTTTTGGACTAGGCTAGACTGTTCTCTGGCAGCTGAAAGAGTCCAGAGGAAGCCAGAAAGAAAGACGGCTTTTTCAAAGGTGACAGAAGGATATTGTGGTTAAGAACCTGATGAAGGGGAGGATGTGGCCGCTTTTCAAGAGAGAATTGTCTGCACTATGAGGGGCATCAAGAGTGAGTTCTGATGGAGGTTGGCTGGGATGTTTGGATGAGTCATTAGCTGCCCTCTCAGCAGTCAGCAGAAGAGGTCTTGGGTCCCTCTCAGAAGGACGAATGTGCTGATTCCCACCTCAAGTGCACAGATCAACATGAGAAGAGTGCCTTCCTGCCACAAGTGTTCAGGTCTCTTTGCTCAGGTTTGCCGTCTCACATCAGGACGAGTTTACAGAGAAGTCTGGAGGGACTCACTGGAGAATTTTTAATTCTGGACTGAAAACAGAGTAACCTGAGTGTTTAGGTGGTATGTCTGCTACCTCTTGTGTCTGGAGAAGAAAGACTGAAAGGGGCCATGGAGGGGCATTGTGGAGCCTCAACAGATACACACACACCTGCCTACCACACAATGGCTGTGCCAGAGCTTCAGTCTCCTTGTGGCCCCCTGTTGGTCTGTCCCAGAAGGCCTTGGTGTTGAGGCTCCTCTCTCCCTAGACCTGCTGAGTCGTATAGAAGTGGCTGCTCTTAGAAGGATTTGTGTTCCCAGTCTCAGCAGGGATGACGGTGCCCCTCCCAAAATGGAGTCACTGCCTGGCCTGCCCATGGATTTTAAGCACAATTTTGAAATGTTAGGTGTCATTGAGTCAGTTCTGACTCATATTGACCCTGTGTACAAGAGAACAAAGCACTACGCAGTCTTGCATGGCCTCACAGCCACTGCCATGGGGACGCCCAGTGTGGAAGCCACTGTGTCAGTCCATCTCACTGAGGGTCTTACTCTTTTTTGCTGACCCTTTATGTTACCAAGCATGAAGTCCTTAAAGAGAAAATAGATTAAAACTGAGAAACACATACAGTGGAAGATAATACTTGGAACAAAACTAAAGGCTGTGTAGACATCATGACCAGTAATATCAGGATAGCAGTTAAGAAGTAAATCTTGATGTCAAGTGGCTCGTTTGTAGAGTACAACCACTTGTTCTGGTGTTAGAGGAACCCCAATTGGTCTGTAATGGTGGAAGTGAGGTCTGGTTCCAAAAGAGGATGGTGTCTACTCGAATAAAAGCCATGTTCACGTGTCTGGAGTCATTGAGTTCTCGGAGGCTGACTTCGGAGACATGCTGAAAAGCTTCTGGGTGTGGATGAAGGGTAGAGAATAGAGCTGAGAGTGTTTGGGAGTCAGGGTAGACAGGTAGGCTAAGACCCAGGTAGGTAGAAGGATGGGAAATGGAGTTCTTTGATTAGAGCTGGAGTGCATGATGAGCTCTTTCTTGGTCCCGCCGCCATTTTGTCTCTTAGAAGGTAGGTGCGCAGTGAAGGACTGCTGTCCTCTATTCTAATTCTGCCTGACCACCGAAGACAGGGTAGTGATGTGTAGACTCTTAGGGACTTTGGAGGAAGTCTTATAGCTGGAAAAGAAAGCAGTAGTTGGCTAGATTTTAGGAACACATGATCTCAGGGAGTTCAGACT